GGGGAAGAATTATTCTGATTACACCTGTGCATTCTGTATCTGTGTGGCTGGATACCAGCCCAAGTTGGTGTTAATGGATAATGCCACAGTTCAAAACATTTTTTAAACCAGTACTTTTGGTGTTACCTTCAGACCCAGCAGCACATGCTTTCCTCATATTTTGGGAACTGATACGACTTTTTTTACACAACTTTTCATTTTCTTTTAATTAAATTAGGTTTTGAGTGTACCTTTCTATGATACGTCATCTTATATTGCATTGTCAAAAGTCATTCAAGGCCATGTATGATGAGTATCAAGGGAGATCAAACAGTAATATTATAAAATGTAGTAGACTATAAAGTAACAGGACTGGTCTTCTATTTTCTATGTAATTTCAAATTATTCTAACAGCATCAATGGTAAAGGTATATAGATTCTCAATGTGATTAATTCAAAGATCATCATTTCCATTGGCTACTTGCTTATTAGAGTTTGATCATGGAAAAAATGTCTTTGATATCATGTTAACTAAAAGTTTCAGAATTCTATTTAAAAAAGAAACAAATATAAAAATATTTCAGAATTCTAAATTATGTATACTATTATCCACAATGAAAAAATAATAAAAAAATAATAAAAATAAAAGTATGTAAACAAGAATTGGAAAAATGTATAATAAATAATGTTGTGCAAGTGGATTAGTTTTTCCTCTTCTTTTCCCCCAAAAGTATTTCATGTTGTGATATCTTTTTAATAATTTTAAAAAATCATAGTCATTGCTTCATACTCACGTATCATACAGAGATTTGTTCTATTTGGTGAGAAATAAGACTCAACACTCTTTCAATTTTCTATTCTATTTCTAAATGCTACAGAAAAGGTAAGACTCACATTTTAAAAAATGCATTGCTTTTACCAGAACTTCCAGATAAGTAAAATCTTTTTGAAATCAGAGCCTAAGCTCTTAAGGTCAGTTTAATTCATCCAGCAATGAATAAATATCAAATACCCTTTTATCATAAATACAATTTAAAATATTTGTGGACAGAACCCAAATTTTATTTTTAAGATACATGAAAAAAGACTAACAGAGTCAATCACGTTTCTAATAGTTCACTATTTGTAAAAAAAAAAAAAAATCCCAAAAATTATTAATAGAAATTTATAATACATTAAGAACAATGTAAGGTATTTTCCCTTTTGCAGACTTCCAGATACCATGGTCTACTGAGGGTCTCCAACTTGATTCAGAAATAGAAAGGCCTGTGACCAAGAAATAAGCCATGAAGACTCGCAGACAGAAACAGAATTAAAGCAATTAAGTGAGTCATTACATCTCACCATACTCTGGGTTTTGTCTATATCTAACAAAAATGTTGTGCTAGGAGAAATAATGTGAAGTTAAAACAGTCTGAGTTCTTGCCTTGGCCAGCATGGCTCAGTGGTTAGAGCGTTGCCCTGCGCACTGGAGGGTCCTGGGTTTGATACCTGGTCAAGGGCACATCTGGCTTGCAGCTTTGATCCCAGGCAACCCATCAATGTGTCTCTCTCACACTGATGTTTCTTTTTCTTTCTCTCTCTCTCTCACCCTCCTCCCCTCCCTTCCACACTCTTTAAAAAAAACACACAAAAAACAATCTGAGTTCCTGAAGGGGTGGTAGATAGTATAAAAACTGAAATTAAACAGGTAGCGTATTAAACCACTTCTAAAAAACTAAGATTAATCATCTTCAATATCTAATTCACTACAAAAATTTTTCTATATAAACATAATCAACAATATTAACTTATCAACAATAATTTCCAAATTTTCCCAATAACAATGATCTGCTCAGCCATTGGGAAATGCATTATATCTTTAATCAAAAAGTTTAAAAATATTAAGGAAAGTTATTCCACTCCTCATCCCAATTTAATTACAAATTTTACTTCACCAACTTTGATGTAATGTTTCATGCCCACAACCTAATGCATAAAACATCTTCTACCTAGTACTGCAGAGCAAAAAAATAAAACTAGCTTTAATTATAAAACAGCAACTTGCATACAACCTGCAGTAGTTAAAACAATGTAAAATTTTACTTAACCAGATCTTGCACGTCAAACACTACGTACATTAACAGTGGAATCCTTCTCTGCATCTAACAAATTACCAGATAAAGTATAAGATCTGCTAAGGAAGGGAACTAACATTCTGTCTGACCTCCTTCCAAAATGACAAACTAGAACGGCAAAATTACATTCGGCACATGGAGTACACTTCTCTCAAATCACTCCACAGAGAACTTCATCATTTGCTCCGCCCTCTAATAACTCATGCAAAAAAAGTTCAGCACCATCAAAGAGAAACAAGTCATAGAGAATTCATAGAATGGCTTAGGGCCTTTCCTCCAGGCGGTTAGAGGTTCTGCGTGTGCCTTTTGCAAGGGTCCAAACGAAAAGAAAAACTGAGGATTTGGTGGATGCTGACATCCAGAAACTGATTTTTTCTCAAAGAAGTTTCTGCCGCCATCCCTATTTTATCAGCAGGAGGCCCCGGCGCCATGGTCTCAGTCTTGATTTTATTATGGGGAGGTGGGAAACGCCACCTAGAATTCCCCCAGGCCTTTCCTCTTAAGGTGTGTGGGGGGGAGGGGGGTCCCCCTCATTCTTCTCTTAAAACCTCAGTCTTTGAAGGTACTCCTCAGCACCCCGCCTTTCTGGCGGCCTATCCCGCGGGATCGGTTAAGGCGCTGCCGAACCCACCAGCCTCGCGGTTAAGGCAAGAGGGCCCGAACACGCCAGGGCCACAGCGATGGCTCCGAGGGGCCCAGAAAAGGGAAGGGCAGGCCAGGGACAGGGGGAGAATGACCTGGCCGAGGAAGAAAGGAACAAGGAGGTAAGGGGATGCACTGCACCCCATGGATGCACAGAGAAGAGATGATGATGAAGAAGGAAGAGGGCGGTGGCCCGGGTGCGGCCCCCCACCTCTACCGCCCCCAGGTCCCTCGGCCGGCGGGGGCGAATGGGCTCGGCCCATTCTCCGGGTCTGGGCTGACAAGGGGTGGGGAGTCTTCCTCCACACTACAAGGAGACCGAGAACGAGGGTTTGGGGTGGGTAGGGGGAGGGGGTGGCAGTCTGCCGCCTGAACCCGGAGACCTGGCGCCGTCGTCGCCTCTTCCTCAGGAGAGAGGACGGGAGCTGCGGGTAAAGCCCGAGGGAGGAATGCATGAAGGTAAGGGGAAGCCCGGGGCAGACCGGCCGCCCGCTCCACAACCCACTCTCCGCCTTCCGGTAACCGCGTCTCTTACCGGTGATGGCGGTGAACTGCTGAATTAACCCCTTCAGCGCCGAGGACGCCGCGGAGCCCCCGTGGGCAGCCATCTTACCGCCGCCGCCGCTGCCGCGGAACAACAACACAGACACACACGGACAGCCCTCCCCCACCTCGCCGCTCGGTCTGCGCAGGCTCATTGACCACCACCAAGCTCCGCCTCTCGCTCCCCGCCCCCCCGCGACGGTAGGCGCAGGCGCGCTTCCAGACCGGGCTGAGAGTGGGCTCTGCTCTACCGGTTGGCAGTTTGGATGCTCCCTGCGGCCGCATCCTTTGCAACCTCTGGTGCCTCGCTCTCCAAGCTCCAAGGCCATGCTCCTAGACACGAATGAGATCTTCGGGCTTGGCAGAAGGCTTTTGGCGTTTCAGTTTCACAAGCCTTTGGACAGACCCAACTGCCCATGACTTTTTTTTTCTTCTTTTGCAGTTCCATAGCCTTCTGCTAGGTCTCTTGTAGCTCCCATCAAAATAAAATTCTACATCATCACACTGAAGCCACTTTTGCACCTGCTTCCCAACCTCTAAACAATTGCTTCGCTAACCTAGTGCGGCAACCCATCCAACAGAAGTAAAATACCAGAACCCATTGTGCCAGTAAAGCACTGGGTGCAGAGTATGACACAAGGTAGGTTTTAATAAGCTATTGTTCAGTCCACTTTCCTTCAGTAAATTTGTCTCCCCTCAAGGTTTCACTTAGTTTTCTCACCTACAAAAAAAAAAAAAAAAAGGTGTCATTTGTGTAAAAAGAAAACATGTATATACAGTAGAGGAAAAAATGTATAGAAAGGGTAGTGGAAAGGTTTCCTCAAAACAATAATAGTTACCCCTAGAGAGGGAGGCAATAGGAGGATTAGTGAAAGGGCACTTTGAGGTGTTTTTTTGGTATCCTTTATTTTTAAACAAAGGTGATGTTTGTATTTAACTTACATAATTTTAAGTATTTTTTAAGTCCTCACCTGAGGATATGTCTTTATTGATTTTTTAGAGAGAGGGGAAGAGAGAGAGAGAAAAAAAATCTATGTGTGAGACAAACTTCAATTGGTTACCTCCCATATGCACCCCAACTGGGGTTCAAACCCACAACCTTTTGGTGTAGAGGAATACGCTTCAACCATCTGAGCCACCTGACCAGAGCTTAAATATATTTAAAAACAGTTATAGGGGTACACTGAAATCTGGTGATCCCCCACCTTGAGAATAAAGTTAAAGAGACTCAGTTTAGTTTCTAGCTTCCCACCTCCCACCCCCACCCACATATTTTGCATCTACATAGGAAATGGTCCAATAAAAAATGGGATGAGTCATCTGGTAAACTGACCCATCCTAAGAGTCTATAAATATGCTTTTGGGTGAATGAAGCGATAACCAAGTCAAATTAAGGCAACTATAGGCTTCTGTAGTTTCAGGAAGATATGACTGGTATATAAGAAGGCAGACGCCTGATCAAGAGCATTATCAATTAAGTGACAAAGATTGGTCCTGGCACTACCTTTCAGGTTGCTGCAGTTCTTTATGTGGGTTTAGGAATCCCAGGGACCAATCATGGATTTGAGAAGCTGTTTGGTTCACATTGACCCAGAGGTGCAAAAAGAAGGGAAAACCAGAGCAAGAAACAGTGTGATCTCTCCCTTCCTAAAGGCCTTAATTCTAAAGGCTGTGTCACTATAGCCAACCATGCAAAATCAGGCTCCAAATAAAATGGTATAATACCATTGACTATAATAACTAGACACAGTTATGGCTGCACCTCTATCGAGTGGAAAGTCTGACAATGAGATCTGTAAGTTTTTTTCCCAAGGTCTTAAAATTCAAAAACACAGTGGTGTGATTTTTAGATTAATCTTGTAAAAAAGTAAAGACTGTAGTATCTGCAATTCTAGTAACATTTTGTAGAAATTAAAAGGTCAGCTGAAAGAAAATGATGCTGGAAATAACGAAACTTTGAAAAGATTTTTTTTTTATTATTAAAAAACATAAAAAGATTTAGAATCACAAGGAAATATATTTAAATAATCCCCTAGATCATGGAAAATAGATTTTTTAAAAAGCGTAGATTATTATCAGAAAAGAAATTAAACTGCAAAAATGTTATACATTGAATAATGGAAAATTGAAATGGGTTTTTTTTAAAGTTTTTATTTTATCCTCACCTGAGGATATATTTATTGATTTTTAGAGAGAGAGAAGGGAAAGAGAGAGAGAGAAACATCGTTGTGAAAAAGAAACGTCGATCAATTGCCTCCCATAGGCACCCAGACTGGGGATCCAACCCACAACCAACTGAGCCACCTGGCCAAGGCAATTTATTTTTTTTACAAACTTTTTTCCACCCCATGGAAAATTGAAATTTTAGATGACAAAGAACAAATATCCCAAAGCATCAGTAACTATTTGAATTATTTCACTAAATTACTCTAGGATTTTGTTCATAATTTTAATTCTGAGTTTAAGATTCCTTGTCTCAAAACAATTTGTAAGTTGTTACTGTAATTTAATGGAATGACAAAGTAAATGAGATGGAATATTTAAGATAAACTGATTAAACATTTTTATTTTATTATGACTCTTCTGAGATTCAGAGAGTTTGAGAGTTGTTCGAGGTCACACAACAATAGGGTAGAGCCTGGAACCCAAATACCTTGAATCCTTGATAAATGTACTTATAAATTAAAATGGCAATATTTCTTTTGTTTAAAAGAACAGGTAATTAGATTACATAGTTTTTAAAATCCAACTGTATGCTGTTGACACAAGATATACCTAAACATAAGGATAAAGAGAAGTTGAAAGGTAAAAATGATATACAGAGGTAGTGTTAAAGAAATGAAAGCTGGAGTAGCTATATTAATTTCAGACAAAATAGACTTTAAAGCAAATGTATCAGAGATAAGAGGGTCACTATATAATGACGAAAAGAACAAATCACCAAGAATATAAAATAATTCTAAACCTGTATATACTTAACATGGTCTCAAGTATATATAAACAAAATTTAATGTTTAAAGAAGAAATTTGATAGATATACAATTATACAACCCTCTTCTCTCAGGTAAAAGTAGTAAAGATATACAAAATGTTCATTTTTGCCCAGCTGGCGTGGCCTAGTGGTTGGTCATTGACCTATGAACCAGGAGGTCATGGTTTGATTCCCCGCCAGGGCACATGTTCAGGTTGTGGGTTTGATCCCCAATAGGGGGCATGCAGGAGGCAGCTGATCAGTGACTCTCTCATCATTGAAGTTTCTCTCTCTCTCTCCCTCTCCCTCCCTCTCTCTGAAACCAATAAAAACATATTTTTTAGAAAAAGAAAATACTCATTTTATTCAAGCACACATGGAACAAAATAAAAATTGACCATAAAGCAAGTCTCAACAAATGTTGAAGAATCCTTATAATATAGAACATGTTCTTGACATAAGATCAGTTAAAGTAGAAATTAGTTTAAAAATAGTAACTTTTAAAAACTCATATATGACTTGGAAAGTTGAAAACAAACTTCTAAATAAGTGACAGACCAAAGACAAAATAAAAATGGTGTATTGCCTGGCCAGGCATGGCTCAGCAGTTGAGCATCGACCTAGGATCCAGGAGATCATGGTTCCATTCCCGGTCAGGGCACATGGGGCTCGATCCCCAGTTGGGGGCATGCAGAAGGCAGCAGATCAATGACTCTCTCATCATTGATGTTTCTCTCTCTCTCTCTCTCCCTTCCTCTCTCTGAAATCAATAATTTTTTTTTTTTAAAAAAAGGTATATCATTCAAAGTCCCAACAGGTAATAATTATCACTCAAATGATCTATAAAGGAACAAATTTTAAAGGTGTGGGAGGGATATATGGCAATCAAGCGATGGTGGAAGACCTGTGAATAGTAGCAGTAGGACAGTCACAATCTCTAGGTCCAAAGGGACAAGGAGAGAGAGGAGTTACTGGAATCCCAAGGAGGAAGAATGTTAAGGCCACCTTTTTAAAATTTTATTATTGATTTTAGAGAGAGAGGAAGGGAGAGATATATATAGAGAGAAACATCAATAGAGACATCAGGCTGCTGCTTCCTGCATGCCCCTTCTTGGGGATCAAGCCAGCAACCCGGGCATGTGCCCTGATCAAGAATCAAACCGGGGACCTCTTGGTTCATGGATTGATGCTCAACCACTAAGCCACACAGGCCGGGCAAGGCCATCTTTTAAGAAACAGACCTTCTGTCAGGGGATATAATCAGCCTGAGCAATCTCACAGAGAAGAGGCCAAAGAAATAAATTCCATGACTTCGCTCTCTTCCTTCTCCTGTCAGAAATCTTCACTGGCAGAAACCAACCAGAAGACAGCGGGCACAGTAGCCTATTGATGTAGTTTGTACAGTCAGCCTGCGGGGCAGAGCGAAGAGGAAGTGAGTGGATCTGGAGGGGCAAAGGGAAGTTGATAGGCACAAATGGAAACTGGAAAATATTTAAAACTGAATGGTCGTGGAAATACATATCAAAATTTGTGGAATGCAGTTTTAAAAGTACTTAAAGGAAAAATACGTAAACTTAAATGGTTATATTAGAAAAAACTAGAAAATGAGTAGCTCAACATCTAACTGAGAAGTTAATAAAAAACAACAGAACAAACCTAAAGAAATTTGAAGGGAAAAATGCAGAAGTCAATAAAAGAAAACAAAATACAAAAGAAGGATCCATAAAACCAAAAGCTGATTCTCTGAAATATTGAAGTAAAATATAAATCCTTTCATGAATTGGATTTCAAAAAGAAAAAGACAAAATATTAAGAATGAAAAAAGGAACATAGCAGATACAGCAGTGATTTTAAAAATAATAATACTATATTATGAACAATTTTATGGCCATAAATTAAGAAATAAAAGTCAGTTTCCTGGAAAAATAGAATTAATTTACTAAAACTGATTCAACTATGAGTAGAATTATGACAATTAATGAAATTTAATCCACCACACAAATAAACAACCAAACCTAGATGATTTTACAGGTAATTGCTACCAAAAAGAAGGAGGAGGAGGAGGAGGAGGAGGAGAAGAAGGGGGAGGGGGAGGAGAAGGAGAAGAAGAAAACAGATGACCCCAGACTGCCA